CTCTCTCTCTCTCTCTCTCTCTCTCTCTCTCTCTTCCTGCGCGATTCTTCTCCTTCTCGACTAGGGAGGACGAATAGCAAAACTCCGTCTTGTCAAATTAATTATACACGGAACTTGGAAAAGCGGGATGTGAAGTCGTTATCTTTTCCCAGCTCTCGCCGTTATTTCGCTCAACAGCCTGCATATTGAATAGCTCCCTTAACGTTTTAGAATCACCACTGTCTGACTAGTTGTGTTTATTTAATGATACGCCCCAATTACTAATCGGTACCGCACTTTAAATCACGCACTCGAAAGATCGACGAGATTCCAAAGTCTTTGATCGAACAATTTCAGTGCTCCAAATCCTGCGGCGGTGGTGTAAAGAAACGGATGGTGGTCTGCGAACAGATAATGGCGCAGGGTCGCAAGCAAAGTCGCGAAGAGCGCGAATGCCCATCTACAAAACCAGCCAGTGAGAAACCCTGTAACACCAGAGCGTGTCGTGAGTCGGACTCGAGCGTGCCGCCGATAATCACCAGCTCTAACATGACGTACAATCAGACGGACATCAATGCTAAGGTAGACCTGAGAATCGGCGGGGTCGCCATAGTCTTTCAAGGAACGAGCTCTGTGAAGATTCGCTGTCCCGTCAGAAAATTCGACAAGTAAGTAAGAGAGCACGCTCTCTGTGCAACCGTTCAACTGATATCTAAACAAGGTTACGAGTGATTGGTTATTTTCTCATTAATTAGCATCATTATTATTAATTATCATTATCATTATTTTTATTAATTATTGTTTAGTTGACGATTAATATGAGCCAATTCAAGGGGAGACCGTTTAATTGACAATTGATTTCAACAAATTCACAATCGAAGATCGACTAATGATTAATATGAGCGAAGAGAATTAAAAATCGTTGAATTAATAATTGAACTTATCAAATTTAATGAAATGCCATTTGATTATTTAGCATTGAACTTAGCAAATTTAATTAAAGACCGTTTAAGAGGATGGCATACTTTACTGACAAAATACAGACTTCTTCTGTAAAGTTTGTCATATTGATTGCACAGAATTACAAGCGCTTTTGCACTGAAAGCAGATGCAATAATGAATTGGAGCATCGCTCAATATGCGACGAAAACGATCAACAATTTGGAAACTGACGTCTGGAGCTGTCAGTCGACGTAATATTCACTTGAAAAGTTCTGCAGCTTGTACATACCGCACCGTGTGTTTGCTCCACTAACGAGAATTTCAAGGAACATTTCCGTATCTTTACAGCTGAATATGAAAACTCAAAAATATACGAAAAATTTGCAAAAAGATTTCTACACTGAGGGAAAAATTACCTTAAAGTCAACAAATATTTCTTTGATGGGTGCCATTATTTACTTAAATCTAAATTCTCTTTATTTAAATCAAATATTGTTTACCTGATTTAAGTAAACAATATTTGGTTTAAATAAAGAGAATTTATATTTAAGTAAATATGTCAATGGCACCCATTAAAGAAATATTTGTTAATTTTAAGATAATTTTTCTCTCAGTGTATATATGTGTCTGGTTATGTTTTCCGCTAGTATGATAAAACAAAATAGTACATATTTATATAAAATCTGTATGTAGAAAAAATACGAAAAAGAATAATATGATCGTATTAGTGACGATCACCTCTATGTTATCGACATTTTTCAAATTCGTCACTTCGGCATCCCCTTAATTGACAATTAATATAAACAAATTCAATCGATTCAATCGAAGATTGTTCAGTGACGACTGATATAATTAATGTCCCGCTCCACATTTAGCGGATCCCATTTAGTGTTTTTCAATCATCGATATCTTCTACAATGCACCCTTCCCCCATGATATTCCTAGTATAAATATTATCCACAAAAACAATTGTAATCTTGAGTAATCGAATGCTCCCCGATTGAATTTGCTCATATAAATCGTTGATTAAACGGCCTTTAATTAAATTAGCTAAGTTCAATCGTCAGTTAAACGGCCTTTAATTAAATTTACAAAGTTCAATTGTTAATTGAACTTTAATTATCTTTGATACTTTAATTCTCTTCGCTTATATAAATTGTCAATTGAACAGTCTTTAAGTGAAAAAATCGTTGAAATGAATCGTCAGCTAAACGATTTTTAATTGAAAATTTCGTTGAAATCAATGGTCACTTAAACATTCTACGATCAATTTTACTGGAATCAATCGTCGCGATTGAATTTCAATATATTTGTGCGAATCATTTATTAAATTTAAATTTAATGGATATTTTACAATACTGTATCTAAACTTCTTGAAGTAAAATCTCACTCTAAACAAGTGAAGACTCAATCAAATAACATAAAATCGCATAAAAAAAAATTCACCCAAAGCGATAATAAAAATGATCGAAATCTCAAGAGTGAATGTTTAACTTAGGCCAATATCAGGTTGAGTAACTAACTAGTTAATAAGTTAAAATTTAAATTAAAACTTAAAAAAATTAATTACTTTTAACTTATAATTTAGCTAATTTTTAAAGATTATTTTTAATGAACTTTTAACTTTTTTAATTAGTTATTTTAAAATATACATTGGCTTTAACTTATTAACTTTTCTTTATATGAGTAAAATAAATCCACCAATATTTAAATCATTGCGAGCTGCTAACAATGTAATATTAGAAAAATAATAAAAATAATGACAGGAGGATTTTTGTCTCTTTGAGCGCTATTCTTTTATGAAATGTTGTCAATGTTTTTTTTAATAAAAGACTATTCTTTTTCATATGAATATAATATAATTTAAAATTCTATTTTCAGGATAATTATGCAAAAGCATATATATTGCTTTATATAATTAACTTTTAACGCTAATAAGTTAATATTAACCTAACTTTTAATTGAGTTAGTTTCGGTTTTACGCATACATAAATGCATACATTATGTATGCGTAACTTTTACGCATACATAATTAATTTAGTTAATGGCCATTAACTTTAAACTTAACTAAAAAATTAACTTACTCAGCCCTGGCCAGTATTCATAGTCGGATCTTTTTTATATTTAAAAGCGTCTCAAATCCCCTTACACACGTATATATTCAAATATTTATAATAAATAAAACAACTCGTGCAGCATCTGAAGATAAACTTGAAACGATCTTAAATATAAAATCTGACTATGAATACTGACTTTAAAGTAGATTTATAATCCATACGAATGAATACTTGAGTCAGTCAAAGTGAATTTGTTCCTGTGATGGTGGAATAATTTAGATTTACTTATTCATTTTCATATCATTCTGCGTCTCGGGTTTCCATTATTATAATATCACTATATCATTTTGCATCATTGTATATTTTCTATATATTTTTTTCTTTTTTGTGGTAACTGTCTGTATCTTTATTTTGCAATGATATTGATTATTGCTCTCTACAGGATTTATTTTAAAGCAGATTCTATTCTATTCTCTATTTTTATGAATAAAAGTATTTATTTAACGATTTGAAATGGAGCAATCACTCAATATGAGCGAAAAGTCAATTTTTATCGATTTGGCTGTCACTGTACTTTCCGCATAAAATTTTGCCCGAAGAAATTTAGACAGCGCGTAATTGCAATTAAGACAGCATTGTAAGCATCAACAATAATGTTGATATAATGTTGCCAGAGCACAGATCCTATGGTCGAAGGACAACAAGGAGATACGGAAATCGAGGAAGTACAAGATCAGCAGGAAGGGCGCACTGAAGATAATGGAAATAGTATCCTCGGACCGCGGTGTCTACGCGTGTATTGGTAAGCGATCTATTCCGCCCGCCGACGCTCTATATTCGCATACACAGATTTCAATATCCAGCTATTGCGGTGAAAAATGCGACGGTAATTTTTTAGCGGGCAGCTCGCGCGCGGAGACGCAATTGATAGTGAAATTTCGCTCCAAAGACCAGATAAGTAGCGAAGAATATTTACGGCTCGGCAATTCCGTTCACCTACAACGAAACTCCGCGAATCTCGACTCCGCGCCAGCGAACTCGGGCGAGAGCCTCTACACCGATCGCGCAGGTAAGCAAAGTGCGAATTTTTATTAAGCAAACCTTTTGTGTGCATTTTAAGACTATAAGTACGTATAAACAGCAACAATTGAATAAAAAATTGTGGCATATCCAAAAATAGAGAACAATAAAATCAAAATAGGAGACAATAGAGGATCTTGCGCACAGTGATGGTGCATTAAGAAAAACATTGGTTGAATAACAATAACATAACTATAAAGCGTTTATGTTGAAGGAAACAATGTCTAGTCCACCCAAATCAAATTCGGCTCTACTATTTAATAACTTTTAAAATAAAAAACGATTATATATCATGACATTTGCGAATTCAATTTTACTAATATTGTTGCAAAATTATGTTTTAGTCATTTTAAATGATTTCCCCTTTCTAACAAAGGCTTTCTACAAAGGCTTGAAATTTCGAACTTAAATGTATTGAAGCGCTCAGGCCTCTTCAGCGATGCTGATTGGCTGTCTCGTTGCGCGACGCGCTTGCTTTCCGTGTATTGTTTGCGACTGTCAAATTATTACGTGAATATCGACAGCTGAGCTTCCGTGAGTTTAGTCCTAAACAAGACGAGAGAGAAAAAGAAGAAGAGAGAAAGAAAAATATGTTCAAAAAGAGGGTATGAGTTTACTATTATATAATTAGAGTTACTTATTCTACTTCCAATTCTATATGTATAAAATTAATATCAAATAGTTACAAACAGAAAGTAACTTGTAACACAAGCATTACGTAATGATTATTCATTATCTATTGAAAAAACTTATTATTATCATTACTTATTGTTATCATTACTAATTTTGAAAAATTACTTGTTACCACTATTGTTATTCAACAAGTAATAAGTTTATTGCAAGAAGTATTGAATTAATACTATGTGCTTATTAATTTTGGGAGATTCATTCTTGACAATTTGTTGTCACTTATCTCATATACATGTATCCTATATATATTCACAAACTAATCGTAAAAGATTCAATTATATTTGTTACTATTACACCGAAATATGATTCTACTACAGTTACAATAGTGTTTATAATAGTGTCAATAGTGTCTTTACCAAGTAGATAAAAGACAAATAAAAAGCATCTTCTAACTTTCAGAGCGTTACGTAAAGATTATTCATTTATCTATTGGGAAACTTACTATTACTAATCTTGAAAAATTATCATAATTATTACTCAAAAAGTGACGAGTTATTACAAAAAATACTAAGTTAGTGTTGTTCTCAGCAAATTTTAAAGATCTTTTTCTTGATAGTGATGTCGCTTATCTCATGTACATATATTCTACACATATTCTCAAATTAACCTTAAAAGTTTCAATTATATCTGTTACTACTACCAAGAAATATAACTGTGCTACTGTTATAGTTGCATTTAAAAAGATTAATATCCTCACTAAATAGTTACAGATAGAAAACATCTTTTAACCTTAAGAGTGTTATGTAAAAGTTATTCATTATCTATTAGAAAACTTATCATTATCTATTAGAAAACTTATTATTACTGATCCTGAAAAATTACTCATTATTATAATTATTATTCAAGAAATAACGAGTTGTTACAAGAAGTACTGAGTTAGTACTGAGTTAGTACTGTTTTCAGGTTTTGAAGACAATTTTTCTTGACAGTTAATGTCGCTTGTCTTCTGTAAATGTATTCTGCATGTATTTACAAACTAATCATAAAATATTCAATTACATCTGTTACTATTACCCAGGAATTATAATTGTGCTACTGTTACAGTTGCATTTAAAAAGATTAACATCCTTACTAAATAATTATAGCTAGAAAGCATCTTCTAACCTTAAGAGTGTTACGTAAAGGTTATTCATTATCTATTAGAAAATGTATTATTATTACCAATCTTGAAAAATTACTCATTATTATAATTACTATGCAAGAAATAACGAGTGTTATTACAAGAAGTACTGAGTTAGTACTATTTCTATCAAGTTTTTAAGATCTTCCTGACAGTTTATGTCGCTTTTCTCATATATATATATATATTCTACATGTATTTCCAAACTAACCATAAAAGTTTCAATTATATTTGTTACTATTATCCAAAAATATGATTCTGCTACAATTACAGTGGTGCTTATAAAGATTAATGTCCTTACAAAATAGTTACAGAGAAATGTATTCTTCTAACCTTAAGAGCGTTACATAAAGTCATTCATTATCTATTGGAAAACTTAGTATTACCATTACTAATCTTAAAAAATTACTTATTATCATAATTATTGCTCAACAAGTGACGAGTTGTTACAAGAAGTACTGAGTTAGTGTTGTTTTCACCAAATTTTAAAGACCTTTTTCTTGATAGTTCATATTGCTTGTCTCATGTATATATATTCTACGTATATTTATAAACTACTCATAAAGATTTCAATTATATTTGTTACTATTACTTAAGAAATGTGATTTTGCTATTATTACAGTTGCATTTGTAACAATTAATGTTGTTACTAAATAGTTACAGAGAAATGTATCTTCTAACTTTAAGAGCGTAACATAAAGATTAATCATTATCTATTGGAAAACTTAGTATTATCATTACTAATCTTGAAAAATTACTTATTATCATAATTGTTATTCAAGAATTAATGAGTTATCACAAGAAGTATTGAATTAATTCTATTGTCACCAAGGTTTGGAAGTTTTTTTTAACAGTTGATACTGTGTATCATGAACATGTATCCATAAACTAACCGTACAAGTTTTAATTATATGTGTTACTACTACGCAAATAATGTAATTCTGCTACTGTTACAGTTGTGTGTAAAAGGATTTGTGTGTAAAGATATCTTTACTAAATAGTTACACAAATAAAAAGTATCTTCTAATCTTAGCAGTATCATGTAATGCTTAATTTCCAACCCCAATATATCAGATAATCTGTTCAAGTGATGGCCCTATAATAATATATAAATGTAAATGCTTTTTCATACAAAAAAGATATTCTGTAGAACATATTTTTGAGAATTTATTTGTATATATATATATATATATATATATTGAAAGTTAGTTTCAAAACTAAAAATATTGCATAACTTGGAATATTATTGAAAATGTACTATGTATATACTCTACTATGTATGGTATGAGAAAAAATACAATTAAATTGATAAAATTAAACGATATATATCATACAATAAAATAAAAACTAAGAAATGACAGTTTACTGTTTCAGTCCTTATGCGCTGATTTATATTTTTGTCTAAGTAATCTTCTAACAACTTAACAAGTAATTCAAACGTTACTTTGTGGAATCACTATATAAATGGCACGTACCTGTGTTTGTCCTAATATTAATAAAGTGCTGATGATTAGAGAGTAACTCTAGAAGTCCCTTAAGAACCAGAAATTTTATTTCCCTCAATTAAAACGCATTTAAGTGTGTCATTGCTACATCAATTCAACTATCTTTTTTCTCCGTGTACTTATTAAGTTCTCTAAGACCTCTTGTACACCAATTACTAAAATAACTATATACTTTGGAGAGTGATCGACTTTGGAAGTCAGGTTCCTCAACTGTGACTTTATTCTTTGCAGCAGCCTATGGCAATCGTTTCGACAGCGAGGACATCAGCCACGAGAACGTTCCCAGCAAACCGACACGGAAGCCGCATCAAAAGAAGCAAAAGACCAGCCCGGCGCCATCGGACGCCACAATGATACACAAGGAGCACACCGTCACTTCTCTCAACCAGGTACACACGACACAAACGAACTCGACGAATTCGTCGGGCGAGAATCGTCCCGTACACTTACAATAATCCAAAGTTGCGTGTTACCTTGACATTCGCTTAACGAGAGCGCATATGCATGAACCATGTCGAAACTAACACACACACTCTTTCTTTCTCTTTCTTTCTCTCCGGCGATGGCTCTGTATCCTCTATACTTTGCATTCCTGGACTAACTTTTCTTTGGTGTTGGCTACTCGATACTTGATCAATCAGCCGGGACACCATGAATCCGTGGAATCAGCCGCTCCGTCGAGCGCCTCCGCTCTGGTGCCACACTTGAGCTACTTGATATCGAGCTTGAAGGTAAGATGTTAACGCTCGACTGAACTTAACGAACTTGCTGCGTGCGAGCGCGCTCGCGTCCGCCTTCGAGCGACGTTAACGCTGCTGTAAACTCTCGATCGACGATTTAACTCTCGGCATCGTACAGCGCGTTACGCTCCATCCGAAATTTCACGTTCATTATTAACGCGTTTTGTGACAGGCCTATTGGCCGTTCCGCAGCGAAGTAACCACGAACGATAATCGCAAGGCGGCCGTTCCCGCGGGGACGTTCGTCAGGAGTGGAAGTAAAACAGCGACGGCGACGGCGTCGTCGACGTCGGTGAGGTACCGCTTGTCCAATGGGAAAGGCGACCTGGTGTATCAGAGCATAGAGGACAATTTAGACAATCTCTATCGCAACACGATCATCCCCGACAAGATTTTCGGTCCGGACGAGGAGCGGATCTTCATCGACGTCGATCCCTACGACCTGGACGATCCTGTGTTCGGACTGCAGCACGGCGACGACAACGCCATGTCGACACCTGTAGTGTCGACCAGTGCGGGTAACAAGCTCACCGCGAAGCCCGATATCGATTACATCGAGGAATCCCTGAAAAATGTGAAAAGGTATTGGCAAGAGTCGAGAGACGAGTCGAGAGACGGGTCGAGGAGTCAGTGGAGCACCACGCCCAAGGATCACGCCCGAAACGGAGTCGTTGTTGCCGAGTCCGCCACGTCTCCGGGAAACGTTGGGATGGACGTGTACTACGTCGAGGACTCGAGCACGAAAAAGGGCTCGCCCGAGGAGAGGCGCAGTTTTGTCGACGACGGCGATAAGTCCATCAATCACGGTGCCTATGGTAACGCGAGAGCCGAAGATTCATCGACCGTCAGTACCAGCACATTGATGGCCAGAAACCCGGAGGTGCAGCGGCCGAGGATACCGGAATCGGCGCGTCGCGGCTTGGCCCACGCGAACAGGACAATTGATTACAGCGACGCGTTTGACGAGGAGTCAGATAAGCGGAAAATCGACCGGCATATGGAAAATCGCACGACCGATTATACAATCATGCGATTGCCGGCTACCAAGGATCTCGACGGCGGCGCGGTGGAGGGTTCGACGTTGATGGATGATCGAGGCTCGACCGTTGCCGAGGAGGAACCTGACGAAGACGCGGGAAACTTATCTCGCAATCGGGAGGATCATGCTGGCTCCGTGGAGAAGGCCTCCTCGGTTAATCTAAAAGAAGTCTCTAAAGAGGAAGAACAATCGACTGTCGGAGATAAGCCCGCGAACGTTTTGATCTCCGCTGCGATGGACAACACAACCAAGAATCCCGCCGCGGAATCGCTCGCTGTGTTAGGTAAGACCCTGTGCGATTACGTGTACACTCTTTCTCCCGGTGGTTCGAGTAGTTCAATAATTAAACGAAAGAATAATTATAACGCAGCTGTGGACAGCACGGAAAGTCTGGTGTTCGAGTGGGTCACGACCGACTGGTCGAAGTGCTCTCAAACTTGCGGAGGAAGTGGGTTCCAGGTAAGATCGATTTTCTCTCATCATTTAGTCATCGGCTGTTAGGAATTTTGCGGGCTCGTGTCATTTCGAAAGTTCATTTGGGACAGAATGTTTGCAAGACGATTATTTGTCATTGTTGCGCGAAGCTGCCTGAGAAACGCTTGAGGCTATGAGTTGTGAGTTTGAAATCCGAACAAATGTCGAAACAGTCAGTTACTATCAGCATGTGCTCTCAGGTATTTAAAATTTGATTCTCATAATGCCACATGATACTGTGCGAAAGTGGCGTTGATTAAGACACTGTGATTCTCATCGCGAAATCGATAAAAGGAAGGAAAAATTCGATAGAAAAGAAGGACGGAAATTAAAAAAACGGATATTATAGTGATAAGTCAATTACATATTAGACAATTAATTACATATTGCGAGTCGTTGTTTCCCGTAGATGCGAGGCGCGCAGTGCACAGTTCGCACGGCGATTTTGAACGGCAACTCCACGCGCGTCTCTCCGAGGACGGTGATCGGCGCGACGCTATGCGAGGACGCCGGTCATCCGGTGCCGCAGAAAGTAAGACCCTGCGGAATGGGCAGGTGTCCGCAGTGGCACACCACCGAATGGACCCCGTGCGAGACGTCAAGATGCTTCAATTGGATGACGGCGATGCAGAAACGAGACATCAGCTGTCGTCTGGTGTCGGAGGACGATCGAGAGAACGTCACGTTGCTGGATCCGAGCAAGTGCGACGATGCCACGAGACCGCTGCAGAGACAGGAATGCTACAATGACGCCTGCAAAGGCGTCTGGCGGGTCGGCGAGTGGTCGGAGGTGAGTGATCAACTGTTGATTACTGCGCGGAGAAAAAAGATTGATTGAATCCATTATTAAAAGATTTGATGGAATTAGATTGGAGAAATCCATGTGTTTAAAAAAAATGATAAAATTACTTGGAAAGGCATATGTATTCAGATATTTTTAATTCAGAAGTATTCAGAAATATTTAGTCGTTTAGTACTAGATATATTTAATCGTCAAAAGTAAATTAGTAATATAAAACGAAAGAAATTGATAATATTATAAGTTGAAATGTCGAAATTAAAAATTACAAGTTCATATAGGATTTCAATGAAACTTTTATATATTCCTATCAAATTTTTAAGCTTTAAGTGACATAGATAAACGTATTTTGGCTGAAGAATAAGATTAAGAAGCCAATTCTTAAGAGCCAGAAATTCCATTTTCTTCCGCCAAAACAATTTAATTATGTCATCGTTATGTCAACTCAATCAATCTCTTTTTTCTGCATATGAAGTTATCAATCAAATCTTTGTAAAGTCACTAAGATTTATGTATGCCACTTGATGATAATGATACTCATTCTGACGACACCTTACGACACGCAGTGTACCGCGTCGTGCGAAGAAGACGGTATCAAATACAGGATTCTACAGTGTGTCTGGTTTGGCACGAAGAAGCCGGCGGGAAACGCCTGCAGAGACATACCACGACCGCCTGTGATGAAAACCTGTAAGGGCTCGCCTTGTCCTCAGTCGCCGGGTAGGTTTCTTCACAAAATATTCATATAGACACGTTATACAGGATGTCTGAGACGACAAGTATCCCATGCCTCCGGTACATGTAGATTAGGCCAAATTAAACACAAAATTCCTCTACTATTTTGCAAACGATCTCATAAGATTTCAAGTTATTAATTAAAGAAGATTGACGTATGATCACGCGCGATACGGTAGTTGTAATAGTGACGGCTGCCTGTTGTTGTATGTGGTTATCAATAGGTCAAACTGAACAGAAGAAGTCTTTTACCATTTTTCAAATAACCACGTAGATTTTTAATTGTTAATTAAAGAACATATGAGTGTATTATCACGCGTGACTATCTGTCAATCTTATTTAACCACTTAAGTGGTAATGACGCATATATGCGTGGAAATTTTTTGTGACAAAAGTGGCAATGACGTATATGTGCGCACATTGAATAACTTTTCCAATTTTCATTGGATTTGAAAAAAACAATTGGTACCCTGAAGTATTGTAAGCCACTGAATAAAAATCTGGGCTCAAAATTTTAAATTTTTATTTTGCATCCTCCTCAGAAGGATTGAAATATTAAGTGTTAATAAGGTTGCAATAAGGATTAATTTTTCTATTTCACTAATCTGTAAATTAGTAATTGATCTTTAAAGTCTCTTAAAAATAATTCTCAAATATAATAGATAAATATAAAATTACGAAAATTTTTGCCCGACCGTCTGCTATGCGCGAACTGCTGGTGAATGGTTGCCTCAGGCGCCGCAGTCTCTCTCTCTCTCTCTCTCTCTCTCTCTCTCTCTCTCTCTCTCTCTCTCTCTCTCTCTCTCTCTCTCTCTCTCTCTCTCTCTCTCTCTCTCTCTCTCTCTCTCTCTCTCTCTCTCTCTCTCTCTCTCTCTCTCTCTCTCTCTCTCTCTCTCTCTCTCTCTCTCTCTCTCTCTCTCTCTCTCTCTCTCTCTCTCTCTCTCTCTCTCTCTCTCTCTCTCTCTCTCTCTCTCTCTCTCTCTCTCTCTCTCTCTCTCTCTCTCTCTCTCTCTCTCTCTCTCTCTCTCTCTCTCTCTCTCTCTCTCTCTCTCTCTCTCTCTCTCTCTCTCTCTCTCTCTCTCTCTCTCTCTCTCTCTCTCTCTCTCTCTCTCTCTCTCTCTCTCTCTCTCTCTCTCTCTCTCTCTCTCTCTCTCTCTCTCTCTCTCTCTCTCTCTCTCTCTCTCTCTCTCTCTCTCTCTCTCTCTCTCTCTCTCTCTCTCTCTCTCTCTCTCTCTCTCTCTCTCTCTCTCTCTCTCTCTCTCTCTCTCTCTCTCTCTCTCTCTCTCTCTCTCTCTCTCTCTCTCTCTCTCTCTCTCTCTCTCTCTCTCTCTCTCTCTCTCTCTCTCTCTCTCTCTCTCTCTCTCTCTCTCTCTCTCTCTCTCTCTCTCTCTCTCTCTCTCTCTCTCTCTCTCTCTCTCTCTCTCTCTCTCTCTCTCTCTCTCTCTCTCTCTCTCTCTCTCTCTCTCTCTCTCTCTCTCTCTCTCTCTCTCTCTCTCTCTCTCTCTCTCTCTCTCTCTCTCTCTCTCTCTCTCTCTCTCTCTCTCTCTCTCTCTCTCTCTCTCTCTCTCTCTCTCTCTCTCTCTCTCTCTCTCTCTCTCTCTCTCTCTCTCTCTCTCTCTCTCTCTCTCTCTCTCTCTCTCTCTCTCTCTCTCTCTCTCTCTCTCTCTCTCTCTCTCTCTCTCTCTCTCTCTCTCTCTCTCTCTCTCTCTCTCTCTCTCTCTCTCTCTCTCTCTCTCTCTCTCTCTCTCTCTCTCTCTCTCTCTCTCTCTCTCTCTCTCTCTCTCTCTCTCTCTCTCTCTCTCTCTCTCTCTCTCTCTCTCTCTCTCTCTCTCTCTCTCTCTCTCTCTCTCTCTCTCTCTCTCTCTCTCTCTCTCTCTCTCTCTCTCTCTCTCTCTCTCTCTCTCTCTCTCTCTCTCTCTCTCTCTCTCTCTCTCTCTCTCTCTCTCTCTCTCTCTCTCTCTCTCTCTCTCTCTCTCTCTCTCTCTCTCTCTCTCTCTCTCTCTCTCTCTCTCTCTCTCTCTCTCTCTCTCTCTCTCTCTCTCTCTCTCTCTCTCTCTCTCTCTCTCTCTCTCTCTCTCTCTCTCCCCCTCTCCCTTCCCCTCTCTCTCTATTTGTGCCGTACGAAAGAAAAGTAAAAATCATATAAATTATGAAAACACTCAATTGTAAATCAAAGAGTATGAATATCAAATACTGCAAATTTTTATCTTTAAACCTTATTTTTCACCCCTTCAAAGGGATTATATAGTCAAAATAATTTAAAGTATAAAATAAATCACTTATAAAATTATCATAAAGTAATTATAATAAATTGTTATAATTATTAGTAATTATAAATATAAAATCATTATAAATAATTATAATATAAATTATAATCATAAAATAATAATTCTTATATATTGTAGAATATAAATATTAAATTTTGCAAATTTTCACTCCAAATTCTTACTTTTCACCCTTTTGAAGGAGTGAAAGGAGTTGTATACTAAAAATAATAGCAAATATGAAAAAAACAATCTCAGAAAGGAGTATAAACCTACTATTACCAATTTTCGATAAAAAATCAATCGTACCACTTTTAGCACTGAAAACGGTTTTAGGTCTTATCACTTAAGTGGTTAATTAATAACTCAAAAATCTAAAAGTGGTTATTTGCAAAATAGTAATATGACTTTTAACTTTTTTTGACAAAATATAATTCTTTTGCTGTTTTATGCAGTTTGTAATCTACATGCACGCACGAGGTATGAGACACTTAACATTACACACGCACACATATACAAAAAAAAGCATCCTGTATAGAATAATTATATAAATGTTCTAAGGAATATTTCCTCTATAATGCAGTATTCATAGATCCCTAATTCACTGTGAGAATACAGTCGCCACAGTGAATCGGGGAAATGCACAGTCGTAATTACTAGTGTTTGTCTTACCATGTCGTGGTAGATATTAATCTCGCGTTAGTTCACATATAACGCAAAGTGGAACAATCCGATTAACAAATGTCGTTCCGTCCGCAACATTTGCAGAGGACTGCAAGGATCACTCGCAGCTGTGCAGCAGAGTGAAAATAATGAACATGTGCAAGGTGCCGCTGTACAAGAAACAGTGCTGCGCGTCGTGTCGCTAATTCCGAAGAAATTGATTGCGAGTGACGTATGGGGATTAGACAGAATGAACGATGACGATGACGATAATAATGATGATAACGATGAAGAATGCGCGCGAGACACGGAGTGTAAATTGCGGTTAGTCGGGGAATTACTTAGTGACATATGTAAAATGCACTCGGGATGCCTGTTGTTAGTTAAATTGTAACACGCGAAGGAAGCGTACCACTGTGGTATCATGTTGCACAGTACTACGATGTCCGGTTTATAAATATTCTGACAGGGAAAGAATGAAGGAGAAAGAGGAGTCGACCAAAACTACTTCGCCGTAATAGTTTTCTCGTCGTATCGTTGCAAGAACTCGCTCCACACACATCCTTGCCGCGGACGTTCCTCTTGTAACAAAAAAATAAATAAAAAGCAGAAAAAAGAGAAAAAGAAAACGAACCTGTCAATCTTGACACAGTTTCCTAATTAAACCATAATTTTCTAACGTATGTCATACACACACGTAGTTTGGCGCGATTCCTAATTGCGCACGCTCATTGCCCCTAGTTAAAAAAAGATAAATGAATAACGATAAAGAGAGAAATGGAAATTTGGCATTCGTCCAAGAAAGTTAACGAGAGCGTTATATTGTTATAGTCTGATGTGAGAAAGAGATAGAGGGGGGAGAGGGCGGTAAAAACTTACCAGGTCCTGGGAAAAAGAGAGATGTTATCGCGACGTACCGTTGAAAACGACACGTTATTAAATGTTGTCAGTGTTGGTGCTTCGAGTCGCACGGAAAATGGCTTTAAGCAGAACGATATTCAAATTTTAATAAACAAGAATGAAAACAAGAAAAGAAAAAAAAAGACGCGCTGAGAGTCCGGAGAATCGCGAGGCGTAGTTGATTTCTGTCGCGCGAAAGAGCATGTTAGAGAATCGATTCCTTGTCGGGATTTATTTTTCTACGCCTCCTTGCCGCGATAAGCGCACGCGATCGAGATCGATTATGGTTTACTATATTATATTATTATTGGCTTGCCAAACGGAGGAAAGTCACCCCTCAAGGCTGAAACGCGCCACTTTGTCTCTTCGTGTACCAGATTCTTCTTGAGCGTTAACATAAAGTAAAGTTTCGTCACGTTTCAAAATGTCTCTTTACATTTCACTATGACCCAACAGAGGTATATTTTACGCCCATATTCCGCGAATGTAATCTCGTTTCCCATATTTATTGACGTGTTATGCCTTGTTCATCTCCACATGGATTCCGGTATAAATTATTGTGCGAACACAAAAGAATATACATATATATATATATATATATAAAACGTTACTTGTAAGAACATAAGTTACGAATGAATCATTATGCGCCTATAAGAGTCCCGTCGGGCGGTCTTACGCCAATAGATCCTAAGCAATAAAAATACATAAGTATTGTAATATAATATTTTGTTAATAATCTCTCTGGCGAAAATTCGTGAACATGACCGTTTCCTTGTTGGTTGAAGGGCCCGACACATTACTTACGTGCCTCTAATCACTTCGCCCCTTTACCTAGACACTCCTTCTCAACAGTTACGACATATTCATTTATCGTGCATTCGTGTAAAACTCATCGGTGGACTCGTTTTCAAGTAAAGGCGATTCCTCGTGCAGGTGACGATGTCCGTATGTAAGATCCCGTGAGAATCATCTTCACATATCGTATTATTTCTTAAGAATCGGTTAATTACGTCACTGCCAATTAGACACTACTTTCGTTTTTTTCGCAAAAAGCATCGGCAAGACTGTTCAGAAGTCGAAATCCAAGGTCGTTCGTTTACGCGCAAACGATGATACTCTACGTCTACATATAGACAAAACGTAAATTATGCATGAGGTATCGCCTATGTAGACAATGAGTCATCTGTAGATGTCGTTTAAAGAACATGGCTAGCATATAAACATTAATTGAGAAAAGATTATATTTTTGTTGAATCTTTAGAATTCTGATGTAAATATTTATAAACGTTGTTTCCTAAATAAGTCAGAGTGCACAAAATTTTCTGATCACATTCTTATACTTTCAGAGTTAAATCTGCAAATTTCTTACGTAATGGAATGATAGTTTCACGCAATTTATCTTTTTAAATATTACATTTATAATTAATGCCCAAAATGAGACTCATAATTTAATATTGCCTTTTTGTATATTTCAATATAACTTACGATATTTTATATAGTTTACATTGTCTACATGAAAAAAGATCGTGTACACACCGCGTAATCTTGAAATCCACGACACAACTCTGTTGAGATCCATCGTGAAGTGTATTCTCAAATTATTGCGTTCTCTGAAATACAAGTATCGTAGTTAGTGTGTAAACTCAATACGCGATATTAACCGCGACTTCGTTTCACGTGAAGCATTCGATCAACGAGAAGGTGCGTTTTTTTTCGAAGAAAACTTCCTGCTCCATCGTTAAAAATACGAGAAGTTACGAGTGCACCCCCATTTCCCTCCCCTTACGGCGCCTGTATGATTTCACGACGATTGTGAACAGATTTTCGCTATCAACGAATTTGCCTCGACACAGCTAAGCGGTTTGCCAAAAAAAAAAAAAAGAAGGAAAACGAGCTGACGTATAAATGAGATAAAAATATATAATTTAGAATACTCTATTAAAGTCAAAAGAAAAAGAAAGGAGATAAAGGATAAAGGTATATTACAAGCTACGTAAACAAATTACCGAGATGCACGCGTATAAATACGACTTTATATGTTGATACGGACGATGGAACTGAAATGTACGGTGAATTGTTACTTTGACTGTGTACTTTGTTTGATTGGGCGCATCGGGAGTTGAGGAGTTTTCTCTCTCTCAGCCGGGCGCGTTGTCTCGCGAGAGGAAATATCAGCGACTTTCGATACGTACATCCCAACATACAATTACGCGGCTAGCAGAAGAGAAGTGTGCAACTACCATCGGCTTGCCGTGCCATATACAACTCACTGTCATGTTTTCCCCTTCTTTTCCGACAGACACCTGAATTATTGACACTCACCTTACGATAATACGCGAGACTCCGGCGTATCGCCTGATCAACTTACGATATCGACTCGAGGGACAAGTTATTTTCCAAATTAATCAGCATAACGACACGACGATTCTTAAGATGGGAAGAGACGAGTTCCGCAGACACACACGTACACATTTTTGTATATATCACGATGTAGGTATGTAAAATGGCTCCACACACCTAGTACTGTACTGTAAGCATTACTGTTCATTATATCTATGTAAATATGTAACTGCCTAAATGCGAATAAAACAAGAGGATATATCACTGCACAATACTGCAGTTATTCTCGTTAAGGTTTATTTGATTTTAATACGTGTTGCATGCTAAAATCCTCCCTTATAATCCCACTTTATACTTTTTTGCTGGTTCCACCCCAGGTGAAGCGCGCTATGAATAATGATTGCGAGAATATTTTTTTGCTGTTATTTTCAAATATCTTACAAATCATCATGCACATACATTACTGAATATATATTATAGAATTATTGCCTCCATAATTGACTATCGTTACGTGCGATTTCAATGTGTTCTCAGGTGAATGAACGCGCTCTTGACGCAAAACTTGAATTAAAACTTGAGTAACTTGACGTAAAATTACTATTACAAAGAAGTAAATACTACTTAAGAGGATGCTGGACTGCGATATCGCAATTTCATAATTTCCACTGTTTTTCTATTTAGTTGCATAGAAGTCCTTTCACAGAATAAAGGTTTCAATGTATGAAAATATACCAAATGTTATACATATATAAACGAAAGATATTGTTTATCTATTAAATTTTTTTGTTTCTGATATAATATTTTAATATGGTCTTAAATTTCTGACGTTTTAAATTGTTTACTTGAATATTAGAAATGTAAAATTTGACTTTGTTTTCACCATTGAAAAAAATCTAAATAGGACCGGCCGACACTATTTAAAAATAATTATCTTTTTGTTCAATGATAAATTAATTGTTTTTTTATTGTACTATAAGATCCATATAAGGCTCTCATATGCTCTCTTGTTCTCCAATTTGCGATTGAATATCAAAGAACTTTTGATTTACTTCGCGATGATATTTAGTGCCTTTCTATGTATTGACATTTGTACTCCTTCTGTAAAAGCATTTGCAATTCCATGCAGCCAAATAGGGAAAACAGTTTAACAAACTACGTTATTTCATTATCCAGCGTCCATAACAATAAATATATCAAATGTGATACTGTGTGACGCATTTCCGTGTTTGACGTATGTCCGTTTGATTTGATCATCCAGTTTGTTAGCGACCAATTTCACTTCTCAATCCATCGGATTATCCGACGTAAAAAGCGGCAGTCCAAAACAAGAAGAATCAAATTAATTAATCGAACGTTTCCAGAAATACAGTTTGCGTCAGACTGTCCTCGAAATAACTCGTTTCTACTGTCTGCCACATTGCTTAATTCGATCAACTAAAATTGACTGGTTGATCGCTCACGCGCTTAGGAGTTGTCCAAGCCCCACGCTTGCATCACGTCATTCTGACACATAGGCCAGAGTCTCTTCAGCAACATCCAGCCGGTTTTCTGCGTGGACAGCAGATACTGATTCTGGGGGTCATGCAGGTGCGAATAAGCGCCCATTACTAGGCTTTGGCACATCCTGGCGCACACGGTGACCTTGAGAATCTTCTTCTCCACGTCGCTGAGCTTCTTGACCCGCTCATAACCCTCCAGCACGTACTTGCCCATTCCCACGTCGGCCGCTTGCAGGATCATGTAGCAGAGGGCAATGGCCAGCTCGAAGACGCGACAAGTCCTCTGCGCGTCCCCGAAGTCGATCACGGCGACTATGTTTTCGCCGTCGGGGCTCACGATGATGTTGTGCTCATTCAAATCACCGTGTATGACCCCCTGCTCGAGCTGCTCCATGACCGGCAGCACTTCCTTCTCAAAGCTGACAATCACGTCGTGCACCAGCTGCTTGTCCAGCGGGCTCTTGAGGGCGTATATGAATTGCCGTAGCTTCGGCATCGAGCTGAGCATCCACAGCGTCCTATGATCATAATAGGCCGGATGATCGAAGCCCACGAGGATCTCATCGATCTTGGCGGCGTAGCTGCCGACTTTGCACAGCAGTTCGCCGGTAATCTTCACGCGATGGAGAGACGCGCCGGGCCGGTAAACTAACAGCCTCACGGCATACTTCTCCATGTTGTTGTCGCTTTTCAGGTTCTCCAAGGAGAAGTAAGTGCCGTGCAGATTTTTCACCGGTAACGGGCAGCGGACGTCTCGCTGATTGAGGAAGATCATCAGTTCATTCTGCGCCTCGATCACGCCGGTCTTGCGGGAGTCCAGCGAGTTGATCACCTTGAGGACGTAGCCAGTCTCCTCCGGGTTGACCACATGTGGGTTCGTGTGCGCTTCCTCGCACAGCACGTGGTAGTTGCGGTCGTCGTAAGCATCCAGCTCGCGCACGCTCGTAGCCCTCATGCCATACAGCCGCTCCAGCAGGCCCGCCGCGATCTCCTCCGTCATGGGCGGACGTATGCGCTGGCCTGGTATCAGCAGCGTGTCGTTGTACTCCATGCTGGTCGACGCAACGCTGCACAGAAATAGCCACGAGTTATTAAGGGGGGAGCCGGGTCGATGGAAAAGAGAAATATATCTGTTCCACGGCGAAGAGGGCGTTTGGAGGAGCGAATAGAACCTTCGCCGCGGCGATAGCTTCTTTGTTCCCCGGGCGATTAATCGTTAAATTGCAGCGCGGGCGAACAACCCACCGCGTAGGGATTAGCGCGTCGGCGTGGGCGTAAGAATAATTTATCGGCCGCAGAGTCGAGCGGAACAATGCCGGGCGGCAAGATAAGAGAAAGAGAGAAAAGCTTGGAAAAGTATCGAAAGTAAATTGAAGTGGATTAGTAAAAACCGCGCGCGAAGCTTATACCGTCGCGATCGTCTGTCCGGTGACTTCAGCCTGATATTTGTTCGCTATCGAGCGATAGATACACGGTATTGTTATATTAATTTGCTTACTTCCTCTGTATTTCCTCTGTGTACGTTAATATAGTAAATATGACATATCAGTATGAGAGACAATTGGTAACTTGTGCGAAACGATTAGTGGGTGAATTTGAAAGAAAGAGATATACACTCCACTGTTGCAAAGTCCTTTAGATAGGAGCGCCGATAAGAAAATTCAAAGTGTCCTGAGTGACAAATCGCACGGGAGCAAGCGGGAATTCGCGTTCATGAGCGTAAATGAGTGTAAATGTATCACTTACCCGACGGACGTGTTTATGCGGCCGAAGGAAGCTGCACACTAAAGTTCTCAGACGGAGGGAGCAGTTTACCAAGTTAGGCGGGCGATCGTGTGCGCAGCGAGCAGCGTGGTCGACGCTCAATCATCGTTGACGCACGGCACAACGGGAGGGTGCAAACGTACAATTATATTTACATTGACGGTAATTGGAACGTGGAAGACGACGCGACGTAATGCACGGCGCGGCGTATCGCGATGACTACGCCGCCGGATCTGTTATCGGGACTGATAAAACCGCAGGAGAGAGATACGCCTAATGCACGGTTTGTGTAATCTAGATATCGCATTTTAGATCCGCTCGCGCGAACGACCGAGTTTCGGTCGATTTGAGAAACACTGACACGGGGCTACGCAACCCGTTGTCGCCCTTCCGTGAATGAATTCTTTACGGGCCGTGAGAGAACGGTGAGTTCGCACGAGTCGATTGGAAATAAACACACTGCGCACAACAGTGCGGGCTTACTTATTTTATACAATTATGCTTGTATTTACAAACAATTCTTCTCTCTTATATATAATGCGCCTTTCTTATATACATACAAAAGAAATATAAACGTTCTAAAATACACACACGAGCGATAAAAAGCTACGCAGCGCACGAAGAGATTGGAGATATCTCGAGAGAGGGAATATAAAGTTGTTCCGTCGTTCTCCGCTACATGCGTAACGAACAAATAAAATATCGACGGAGTAAATAAGTAAGAAGTAGATATCTCAAATACTTCGTATTCTCATTGAGTCACACTGATGACTGTAAATACCGAAGCAACTTCAAATTTTGTATAGCATGCGTAAGTTTAAAAGACAAGAGCGAGAGATTACTCGTAATGAACATCTATAATAATAATAATAATAATAAAAAACATTCTTTTCGGAATAACTTCTTATGTACAATCCAATCCGGACGATCTGTAATTCGCGATAGAGCATCATTTGAGCGTCAATCTTTTACATATAAGCACTTCAAGATATACATGTATATTTTTTTTACAAATAGAACCCGATCCCAAATTCACAGTTCGCAGATTGCAGATCGTCCAAAGTAAACTTGACAACGTAAATCACAGTTTTTTCTCACAGCTGAAATAAACACTCATTATTCCTCCAGTAATAGCTGGAAACAAGTGTCAAATGTGCACAAGGCCGTCGGAATTCTCTCCATCAATCTTATAATGTTCAGAGCCTCCAATGTGTATTTCTGTTTCTTCAATTCCTGTATGAGCAATCTTGCATTTTCCTCGATGCCGGCCAAAGATTCATTCACGAAGACGTGCTCGATTATCTGCCCGTATACAACGTGATCCGGTGGAAACGATGCTGTTAGATCGTTCAGAAAAAGTTTCTCCAGCACCAATGGCGGTAACGTGATGGCCTGTAGAGATAAAATTATTAACTTCACCTTTTAACTGCATTTAATTTTCATGTTTGATCATTCGTACGTATAAGATGAGCTGACCTGTTGTTGTTTGATAAGATCCACTGCCTCTCTATACATAGACACGTCCTCAGAACATAATCTTATGTAAAGGCCTTCTTCAAAACTGATGTGATCCTGTTCGGCCTCTACAAACTCCTTGAGTATCTATTATAAATATTCAGGTGAGTAATATCTGATTAATTGTAATCAAAGAAGTCACGCATACGACTCGTTAAATTACCTCTTTAGACGCCAACAATCCGATAAGTTCTTCGTGCTCTTGTAATATCCTCTTTTCGAAATCCGTCGTATTCGTATTCGCGATTAACGGAATAATCGTTTTCATCATTTTTAGAATCGGATGATTATCTAATTTGATATGATCCGGCATATTGAATATCGGCCATTCGGTCATTATTTTCTTCAGTTCTCTATATTGCTCCAAATCGTTGATTTCACTCAATAGTCTTTGGAATAATTTGAAACGATCTTCCTCCGTGACACACTGATCGATGTCATGATCGGGAGAAAGAGAAGATACAGTTTCTTCCTGATTTCTCTCTATTTCTTCGGATTTAGGTCCAACCTCCATGTCACTGATTGCTTCCACATTATCTTCAGAGAAATCACCCCAATCATCTGTCCATTCCATGGTATCAATCTCATCCGAGACGCTGGCTTTCTTTAGATCTCCATTTTCACTGAAATTTCCGACCAGTGTGTTGTTAACATCCGAGATATCGATCTCACTTGAGACAGTAGCACTTATTGGTTCCTCATCTTCGTCGGAGTTTGCGTCCGAAATATCATTAATATCGGTGTGTTCCGCGAATTCTTGTTCTTCAATTATAAATTCTGAAACCTTGGCAGTTTCGTCGGGACGTACGCAGGTGCTATGTGATTCTATCTCTAGCGCGCTCATACATTTCATCTCCATTTCTCCCGTTTTAGCAATCTGCGCACCACCGAGCAGATAACTTTGCCAGTATTGCAACGCTTCGACGATGTCGCATTCTTCGATCGTTCGAGCCGCAACCATCATCTTCCTTATTAAATCTAATGGACTGTACAAATATAGCTTCTCACAATCAGTGTACAATCTTTTATACAATTTCAACGAATAGTAATAGAGTGCAGTTTGTATGTACAGCTCACTTCGCGGTAAATTCGTGAAGATCTCTTGAACATCCACGATGTGATCTTTGTTTAAACTTAATAAATACGACATGCCTAACAACCAGTCATCTTGTATAGTATGCTTCGCACATTCCAAGAGTACTAAAAATCGATAAGATAATCTCAGAACTTTTGTCACACAAATTGCATTAACGTGATTTCTTTGTTAAAATTTAACATTTATTAAAATAATCCAAGCTGACTCTAATGCGAATAATTATAATTAATATAAATATAAAATAATTATATGCGCGATATATATTATACTTACAATGATCGATGTCGCTTACTTCCAGCCCATAGCAGGAAGATTCACTCAGCATAGTTATTCTCAAAAGGGCACGGCAACATTTTAGCTTTGTATTTTGTATGTCCGGCATAGAGTACTTATTGTATCTCGCCTCATTAACACTTATCCTACATGATCCATGTAAGGATTCGTAGTAACGCGGGAAACTCTGACGATTTGCGTCCTCACTGACCTCATTTTGCGCTTCCGCGTCCTCGTATTGTTCGTCCGCTTCCAAATCGTTCGCGAAATTGAACCTCAATCTAGACTTCCAAAAGCTGGTGTCGCTGATATTCTTTATTAACCGAAACGTAGATTTCTTCATGATGTTGGCTGAGCTCTTGACAATCTCTGTGGAAGTTTCCAACATTTTCGGAACAAATTCCTTCACCTCCACTTGCGGCTGCAAATTGCAACAGAGTTACTTGACTTTCATTTTGAGAAAAGATATTATAGCATTGGTAACGCTTTTTACCGTTGTCATAGCGTCCGTAAAATGATCATCACTTTCGTCACTCTCCTCATCTCGGGAACCCTCAAATTCGACAGATGGCATCAACAATTCCAGATTTTTATGTAGAATTTGTATCTCTATCAAGTGCATATGTTCTAAGGCATTACCCAGAATATCACTCGGGCCATTATTTATCGCAAACCACAAGCATTTTTGCCTGACTTTTAAATCCTGATAATTTTCACAACGCCCCAGATTCAAACAAATTTCCCAAGCAGGAAGATAATTATTTTGTGTTAATTGCATGCATATTGCAGCACATGTATTATAATTTTCAGTCTGTATAAAACAAAAAAAATATAGTAACAATATGTTAACAATTCTCGCGGTTGTTGTACAACTTTCAAAATTATATAAAAGTGGAGTTACAAAAAAGTATATATGAAAAAATTAAACATGTCTAACCTCAAGTGCCTTCTTGGCTATTAGTTCTAAAACTTTTCCTTCACGGAGTCTATTGTTATCACCTTCAATTCGTAAATAAGCTGCCAACGTTAATAGCCTTTGCTGACTTTTATAAGCGTCTTTCTGATTATTTAAACAGCGTTCGATAAGAGTTAGTCTATCTACTGTTAATCTAACTTGAAGAGGCAACATATCAACGTTGAACTCATTTAAAATTTGGAGTGATTTAATGAGGTCGTATTCCTCTTTGATTTTCGCGTTGTCATCTCCGATAAGAAGAAGACAAGCTCTGGAATGATTATTATACATACACATTATGTATGATAAATTATCGCTCAATCACCAGTCTACTGAACGAAATTACTTACTTAGCTAATTCCATATTTGGATCGTTAAGCGCTTTGGAACCGTTAAAATATTCCTTCGTAGCTTCTAATATCAAATTAACTGCTCTCTCATAGGCCACTCTTACTGTCGATTTTTCATTCCTCTTGGTTTCTATCAAAGTGGTGCAATTCTGGATAATGCTTTTAATCCCTGAGACTAAACGAGCAGAAACGTATATCTCAAAACAGATATCGACATCGATGCAGGGGAGCATACCGCGTAAGATCAACATATCATGTAACAATTGTGGCCATTCGTTCTCATTTGAAGGTGGAAATCTGTAAAAATATATTGTTAAATCACCATTTTTTATTGTAAAAATGTTTGATAATTGATGAATTTTATGTATTCTATGTACTGATTATTTAAGCTCCTCGCTATTTGAGTGAATAACGATTCAACAACGACAGGATTACTCTTATGCTCCCGTATAAACTTCAACGTTGTTTTCACATCGTATTTGCTTAGGACTCTAGTACAATAGAGTTCATCTCTAAGCTTGCGAAGCTCTTCTCCAATGTCCCTTAATGAGCTGTCCGTCGCGTTCTTTCTGTTATGTCCGTCGTAATTTTTTGGTAACGAGTCTAAGATTTCCATCGCTTTTTCATACATATCGGAATCGTCACAGGCGCATATACAATTTAAAGCTAGGACCGCGATGTCGTCTATCATTTGCATTATCTCCGCTTCCTGCGTCTGTTTTAAGTGTCTGAACAATTTAACCGGAAGCACAAGGTCTTCTTTGCTCAAGCAAATTAGATAATCGCTCAGTAAATGCTTCTCGAGATCTCCATCCTAAAATTTCAGATAATTATTCATATATACATATACTTGATTCATCCAGAACATAAATATGCGCACCAAATACTGATGTTTCCGCTTGATATACGGCAACAAGAGATTCCTTATGTTTTCAACAAAGTTTAATTCGGTCGACGTGCTCATTAAGAGTTTTATCTTTTCTCCGTTTATCAATTTCTCCAACTCATATAACGATATGTCTTCCAGATAGACCTTGTACACGAGATCGTCCAACGTCTCCAAATCCAACAATAAGTCCTCCATACCATTAATGTTATGAGATTTTGCGATTTTAATTAATTGCAGAGCATTATCTACCATCGAGCTGTTCTTCTCGATTTCATAAGCACGCATTTTATACCATTTCTGTAATAACTCCGGAGTAAGTTGCGTGTTTCTAAAAAAATAAAAATGAAAAGAACTGAAAATTATATATTTAAGTGATTCTTAAGGTGTTTGATCAACATATGATAAGTACATGATAAGTGTGTAATAAACATATGAAAAAGAAAAGACTGAAGCGTTACAAAAAATGTGGATAATCGTGTAATAATGTTCCTTACCTATATATTAATAACGAAGGATCTAATTCGTACAATATTTCCGATCGACCGTCCACATCCAAGTTTACTATTTCATTAAATTCAAGCTTTTCTGACCAATCTTTTTGTCGCAACTCACATTGATCCAATAAGAACAATTGACCCTCAGAATCGCATTTTGGTAAGAGCTTCTGGTAATCCAACGGATTCAACGTTTCCGGGAAGAAGCTAATGATCGCTAGCCAATGAGGCATCAAACTTTCCCCATAATAGGTAAACATAATTTCAACACCTCGGCAATCTCCATCTTTGGCAAATCTGCAAATAAAAAGGTGTTTGGGATAAAAAATGTACAATATTTTATTAAATTGTTGCAAATGAAATGGCCATTTTTCAAATTATAAATTTTTAATTTTCCTTTGTAATTCACCTTTCTTTCATGGAAAGGGCGCGTGCCACATGAAAAGTATATATCCCGTATTTGTAAACAAAACTTCATTTACAAAATACAATAATCATTGTTCAAATTCGCATTGAACTCAGTATGGAACGTAAAGAAATTCGATTAGTTGTATGAGTTTAAACTCGGTCGTAGTGCGACCGAGGCGACGCAAAACATTAATATCGCTTTCGGCGAAGATACTGCAAGTTAACGAACAACGCTAGTTCGAAAAGTTTCAGGTTCAAGACACAAATCTCGACAATATATCTCGCGGCCATGCACTCTCCGTCATTAATGACGTTAAGTTAAAGAACGATTGATCCGAAATTTATTCTATTCGAAAAATTGCAGAAAGACTCAACATTCATCATTCAACTGTCATTCGACATTTATAAATCAATAGAAAAGTGAAAATTTAATTAATAAAATAAGTTTTAAGTTTATCAAATAAAGGTCTAAAGTTAAAATTTCAAAACAACCATTTCATTTGCATCAACCTAATCGTCGTTTAAATATGCAAGCATGTTAATACCTGATTGCATTTTCAACGGCTGATAAACTTCGAAATTCCTCGTAAAATTCCTTTTCATATTGCAAAGATGGTTGCAGCATGACCTCATATGTGAGCAATTTATCCAAATGACTTAAGAGCTTCCTTCGATACTTGATTAAATTTTTTTGAGCTTCTGACAAGTTATTTATGTCTACCTGCTCGACCATTTCGTTTACCTTCTGTATCTGTATTTTTTATAAATAAAATCATATTAATTCCATATGATTTCTATATTTATTGTAGATAGATGTGCTCACCTGTCGTAAAGTCGCAGAGTTTTCATCCAACGCTTGCCAATCGTCTTCTGCATCGGAAATCACGAATTTATCGTTATCACAAATATCGATCGCTATTAGAGTTTCCAAGTTAGCACCTCTCAGTCCAAAATTCAACAGTTCTCTCGCGGCTTCCATGGTATCGGGAACGCGCATAATACATTCATTCAGAACCCAAGATCTTTTGCTTACTTTACTCAAATGCTCTGCGATAGCATTCAAGGATAATTTTGATTTCCTCCATTGCGTTTGATACACGAGATCCGTGTCCAAATTGTACGTGTTCGCTAGAGCCAAGGCTTCCTCATATTCCTAAAGAGAGAGTTAAAATGTCTCTTATTTATCTGATAAAATGTGTGTATGTGTTCTTATTAAATATATTGTTAAATCCAATTTAATAAAGAGATTATTTACTTCAATGTCTATTTTTCTAGAATAAAGCTCTTCCGGTGTCGTACTTTTTAACCCCAAAATTCTATAAGTACGACGTAATACTTTAGATTTTTTTCTCTTTGGTTGAAACCTTTCGATATCAGTTATCGAATACAGAGTACTTTGAACCAGGTTCGTGGTGTAATTTAATATTGTGATAGGCTCCAGTTCGTCATCGTCCTTCTCACTTTCCGACGATGCTTCTTTATTGCAAAATTAATACTATTAGAGAGAGACTTAGTTTTTATAAATTATATTATGCGCATATTTTCATAAATTATATTATACATGAATAGCAAAAATTAGAATTAGCATGAAAAAGGAATAATGTGTCATGAGCAAACCTGGTAAATGACTATCGCTAGGTTCTCTGCTTCGTTTTTTACTTGTAATGAAGGTCTCACAATCTAAACATAAGAATCCTTTTCCTGAGCCCAATTCACAAATTTGTGGTTGTCCCATTAAGAATTCTGGACTAATGCCCAGTAAATTCTTCAAGTTCCATATAGAACAAACTGAAGTGGACCCTGAATATCGAGCTATTATAATAGCCTTAAAAAATATACATTTTAGAAAAACAATGATATTAATATAAAATATCAAAGATATTCAATTTATAATACACATAAATGATGAAGAGACATTACTTGATCGGACCACCAGCCAATATCTATTGGATGAAATTCCGTAAAGCCTGGTGGAAACTTTTTACACTTTGATCCTAAAGGATTAGGTATATTATGCTCAGGCTGCTCCGTCAATTTCCACTTCCTTCGTAATACCAAGTTTGGTAATCCCCATAGCGAAACTGAGCCATCTGTATGCAAGCATATCAGAGACTCGCCGTTGGGTGCGATTTTTATCGTGAATATAATTGACTCTGGTTGAAAGCCAAAGCTGGGAATTAAATTCCAAATAGAAAATCGTGATGTGTTGTTCGTTGAGTCTTCAAATGCGAATGATAATTTACAGTATGGATAGTCATTCAAGGGTCGCCATGAAGTTAATCCAGATTCTAATGCGGTGGACTGAAAAAGAATATATATAAATACACTTATATAGTTGTATATATACTTACGTGTATCGTGTGCGATAATAATTCTGTTCACCTCTACTATCTTCACTATTTCAACAATGCAGGAATATAATATGTTTTTATGATTTCAAATAAGATGTAACGTAGTGACAATAATTTTTTAGTGGAGGTATGTAGGATATTTCAAGATTATCTTAAATTTTGCAAATGAAATTATGTGGTTTTTTTAACACAAATCAGTTCTTCTGATTACATTTTACACATAAAAGTACTTATTTAAAATTATCAAAAAGTAAATATTTTGCGAGATATTTTTCATTTTAATCTGATACTTTTCACACAGTATAAGATATGAAATGTCTCGTTAAATATTCACTTTTTAATAATCTTATCTTGATAATGTAGAATAAACAAAAACTGTCTAAAACCCCTATATTGCCCCTATTAACCCTTTGGGGACGGAGCCGCTCGACGGGCTATAAGGAAGATAAAACTTCATCGCTAATGGCCCCTAATGTCTTTGAATCAAAACGTGACTCTTTTACTATACCTATGCGTATCTTATCGCTCAGAACGACAGACGTCGCGAGCCTTGCAGCTACGAACTAATTTGGGCGGCTATATGCCGACACGCGTCCGGAACGGTAAAACGGCTTGGGCGGCTATATGCCGACACTCGTCCCCAAAGGGTTAAAACCCCCATATAAAATCAACAGAGATTTATTTTTTGTTTTTTTTTTAAATAAAGAAACCTTAATTACATTATGAAAATTTCCTGAACTACAATGCTTTTTGCTCAAGAAATTGTGTTTTTACTTGTAGATAAGGAATTTGGCAAAAATTCAGTTTCCCAAAATTGGTGACTATGTACCTTCTACAATACAATGATTCAATTTATTTATGTCAGAAAAACCACACGATTTCATTCATTAAATTTAAGGTGATCTTGAAATTTCCCACATACTTCACAGAAAAACGATCATCACTATGTTCTATCTCTCCCAAAACCATAGAACTTTTGTAGTCACTATTTTCTTGTATTATTTGGAGAGATATTTGAAGTGGGCAGAGTTACTGTCTTACCCTTTACATATAAATAATACTCGCAAATCGATATACTCACTGTCAATTTTTGTGTGATTGTATTTCCAGCAACATAAAACAAATGGCGCTTCTCATCATAAACAACAGCATTGATGCCGTTTTTGTAAAAATTGCCAAAAGAAAAGTCATAATTTGCACTGAAGCCTGTCGTAGAAATGTAATAAGATCTGACCAGTCCACTATATGTAATTAAAATAAACTCATAAGTCCATTTCTCGTTTTTTGCATTTGGTTTAAGAAATAACATGGATGCTATTGCATCACCAGCTTCCAAAATGCAAGGATTCTGTGAAACTGTTTTTGGACTTATGTTGAAGATGTTATTTCCTAATATATTGTAGAAGGATGTATAACCAGTGCTGGATGCTAGCACTAAGATCATTCCATCAGGACTCCATGCAAGTTTACGCCATTGTGGAAATGCATCTTTTGGGGCTGGAGAAAAATCAAATATCTCGTAAATAAGATGCAGTTAGGGATGAGTGATATCTGCAGGAATGGTCAGTGAATGTAGTGGTGTTATCATGTTTACCTGATGTTTTGCCTACTATGGAGGAATATTCATCTTTGGCCTTTCGTATCTCAACAACATTTTCCTGTAAAATGGCAAGCACACGACCATGATCTCCAACAGCAAATTTCCAGGATAGTGTGAGACTGACTTGATGAGCAATGCTCTCAGGTAAGGAATACCTATTGTTTAAGTATCTCAGAGCATTTTTTATTGTACCAGTAGCTGGCAAAACAACTGTGTCGTTTTTGCACTTCTAAAATGTAGAACATTGTAAAGTTCCATAGTCAGTGACTTTCTATTTGTTTTACTTACTATTAATTCTGGCTCCTGCTCTCGTACGAAGTATTCCAATAGTTCGTACAGTATCGGCTCATTTGATGTTTCATTCTGAACACTCATCTTGTCACTGTAAATATAATCTTATCTTCATATGAATGAACAATATCCCATTGATGTATCTATGCTTGATTCTTTACTTTTTTAAAAGAATACTCGCTCGATGTTATTAAAAACAATTTTACAGATAAAATACAGATAAAATTTTTTTTAATTTGTTAATCTCATATTTGACATATACATACTTCATTTATATCTCTCCGAAGTTTATTTCATCAAAATTCTCATTTTCCAGCAATATAATTCAATATTAAATTAGAAGAACTTTTATTTCTCGTTGATAAGCAGAAATACAACTACTCAACCAGCTGTCGTGCTATTCAAGAATAAATAGTTCGTCTGACAAACCGTTGAGTCGTACTACGACTATGGCTAGTTCAGATGGAGAAAGAAATAGCGGAACGGAACAGTTACGGAAAAGAGATATGGTGGGGGTCAGCCAATCAGAGTAATGCAGGATTCACACCGCGTCCGATGTCCGACGTACAACGTCCGATATCCAATTAAAAAATAGCTTTCCAATGGAGAATTAAATCCTCTATTAGAAAGCTGTTCTCTTGGATATCGGACGTCGTACGTCAAATATTAGACGTGGTGTGAATCCTTCATAATTCCGTTTTCATTCCGTTCCGTTGTTTGATAGGTTAGTTTCATATGGCATGGAAATGTTAGTCCCGATCTACAATGGATGTAGTAAGCTTTAAAACTTAAGAAATTTACCAATCACAGTGGAATTATAGAGGAATAATCAATTGTGATTGGTTAATTTCTTACAGCTTAAAGCTTACTACAATATTAGGCCTGTTCTTTGTAGCTGCACTACTGAACTAGTGCAATAAGTTAGAGTGAGAAAACGTATATTTGTTTCACTTCAATATATTGCACCAGTTCAGCAGTGCAACTACAAAGAACAGACCTATTGTAGATCGAGACTTATGCAGGATTCACACCGCGTACGATGTCCGATATCTAATAAAAGAATAGCTTTAAAAGTGAAGAAGTGTGGTAAAGTGTATTCAGTTTGTAACGTATTTCTCGCGACGGAGAAAACGAAAAGACTGTTTATTATGGCAAGTTAGCGAATATTTGAGAGGTATCATTGATATTTACTTATATATATTAATGATACAATTTAAACATTAAAAATTCAAACATTGTTTCATTGATATATATAAGTAAATATTAATGATACCTCTCAAACATTTGTTGACTTGTCATAATAAAGTCTTTTCGTTTTCTCCGTCGCGAAAAACACGTTACAAACAGGGCATATTTCACCACACTTCGCAAATTTTCGATGTCGATAGATTAGAATATTTTCCGTTTTTGTTCCATTCCATAATAGGCAAGTCAACCTGATTCTAATACAGGATTCACATCGCGTCCGATGTCCGACGTACGACATCCGATATCCAATAGGAGAACAGCTTTCTAATAGAAAATTCAATTCTACATTGGAAAGTTATTCTTTTATTGGATATCGGACATCGTACGTCGTACGTCGGATGCGGTGTGAATCCTGCGTAAGTCTCGATCTACAATAGTGAAGTAAGCTTTAAGAAATTAACCAATCACAATTGATTATTCCTCTATAATTCCACTGTGATTGGTCAATTTCTTAAGGCTTAAAGCTTACTACATCTATTGTAGATCGGGACTAACAGTTCCGTGCCATGTGAAACCCATCTATCAAACAACAGAACGGAATAAAAACGAATCTCCATATCTCTTTTCCGTAAAGGGACGTATACATTGGAAGTAAGCAGTAAGAAGTAGAAAGTAAGAATAAGAAATTGACCAATTATAGTTGATTATTCTTCTCACATTCGACTGTGGTTGGTCAATTTCTTACTCTTACTTCCTACTTCTTACTTCTTACTTGCAATGTAGACGTCCCTTAACTGTTCCGTTTCGCTATTTCTTTCTCCATCTAAACGCACCCTATGAATATTGGCCACAAAATAACTAGGATATCACTAGTTAATTCTAGTTACTTCTGCTTATAACCATAAAGGCCTATTCAGATAAACTTGCATAATTACATATTGCATATGCATAAAGAAATCAACCATACAATAGAAAGATGTTTTTTTTATATCTGATACACGATTGGTCACTTTCTTTGCGTATATTCATTATGCAGCTATATAAGTTTGCTTGGTAGACTTTACGGCCCATATTCTGAATCCTCTTTTATCCATAAAAATGCTTCTAAAAGAGGCTTAGGAGCCACCTAATTGGCTGAGAAGCTATATTCAAGGCACTTTTATCGATAAAAGAGGGTTCAGAATATGGCCTTACATCTTTTACTTTAGTATAAATTTGTAAAAGATAAACAAAAATAATTAAAAATAAAAAAGTATTCATTTTTCAAATTCACACTGAAAGAAAAGACTCATGATTAATCTGCTGTTTCACTTTTAAGGTAAAAGGCGCAACTTAGTTTATTTAAATGAAACAGACTTCGGGTCTCGTATCATATCAGCTGTTGTTCCGTGGCGGTTATACGCGTCCAGCTGCAACACTGCATGTACAGGTAGTGTCGGTGCACATTGGTGAATTTCAAAATACGATTCGCTGGAAGTAGCGGTCGGTGTCAACAGGATCGCGTGAAATTCTTCCTGCTGTCGTTTACGACTGATAACAGCCTGCGAAATGTCAGACGGTGATGATGATTTCATGTGCGAGGAGGACGAGGATTATGGACTGGTAAGTTTTATTCTCGTAGACAAGTGTCATCTCTTTGTGCAGTTTTCCGGCACGCAGTAAGGTTAGGATTTCAGGAGCTACCCTATATAGCATTTAAAAATAGTTCAAGAGATACCTGAAAGGATTTCTACGATAAACAAGAAAATGTCCGAAATACCAGATCAGATTTTACGCGTGCATAATTGATCGTTATGATCAGATTGCATGCAGCTGTTTTGTCTTTAATATTAAATTAGCGATGTTGTCGAACAAATATGACAGTTCGAATCGGATTTTAATTATTGCTTGTTTTAGGAGTATTCTGAAGATTCTAATTCTGAGCCAGATGTAGACTTAGAGAATCAATACTACAATAGCAAAGCTCTCAAAGAGGATGACCCAAAAGCTGCCCTACAAAGCTTTCAGAAAGTATTAGATCTGGAAGGTGGAGAAAAGGGTGAATGGGGCTTCAAAGCTTTGAAACAAATGATCAAAATTAATTTTAAACTGGTATGTGAACATCAGTAAGATCTACATCTTCGATTATAACAGTATCTTTTCTTTTTAGTCCAATTATAAAGAAATGATGGCGAGGTACAAACAGTTGTTAACTTACATTAAAAGTGCAGTTACTAGAAATCATTCAGAAAAGTCAATAAATTCCATATTGGACTATATTAGTACATCAAAGAATGTAAGTATCACAGCAAATTTCATCTCTTTGATAATTCATGTCAGATATTTAACCCTCTGCTGACAATTTGAAGTTACAAAACATCCAGCAATATCTGCCTGGGGTTGAATCCTATCCCAATGTTGTCAGCAAAGGATTAATACTTTGATATATATAACATACTTATGTTATTCTACTGTTTATATTTAAACATTGAGTATTTGCTTAAATTTTTAAGTTTTCTTGTATGCAAATTCCTTGAATATTTCCAAAAATAATAGATTGTTTACTTCTTTTTCAAGATGGAATTACTGCAAGACTTTTATGAAACCACATTAGATGCATTAAAAGACGCAAAAAATGATAGGTTATGGTTTAAAACAAATACAAAGTTGGGGAAATTATATTACGATCGTTCTGACTTCAATAAACTAGCAAAAATATTGAAACAGCTTCATCAGAGCTGTCAAGTATGTATCGTGCAGATTCATTTCCCTTGGGTGTGGTAATCAAAATATTATCGTTCTTGAACATATACTTTTAGACTGATGATGGAGAAGATGATCTGAAGAAAGGGACACAGTTATTGGAGATTTATGCCTTAGAAATACAGATGTATACAGCACAAAAGAATAATAAAAAATTGAAAACACTGTATGAACAGAGTCTTCATATTAAAAGTGCTATACCACATCCCCTAATAATGGGCGTCATCAGAGGTAAGAGAAGCATGAATGCTTGCCTGGAACAATAAATTGCGAATACAAATATTATTGGTTGCTTATCATATCGCCACCGTGTTTATTTCTTTAATATGAAAATACTGTTTTGAAAAATTGCATGCGACAAAGCCCTTGTATCTTCTCTTTCCAGAATGCGGGGGTAAGATGCATTTAAGAGAAGGCGAGTTTGAAAGGGCCCATACTGACTTTTTCGAAGCCTTCAAAAATTACGACGAATCTGGATCGCCGAGACGTACGACATGTTTGAAGTACCTAGTTTTGGCTAATATGTGAGTATAGCTATCTATTATTTGTATAATTAAAAATCGCAATTTATTGATATTAATAAATTTGACACATATGTAATATGTAACTTGTAGGTTAATGAAGTCTGGTATTAATCCGTTTGACTCGCAAGAGGCTAAACCGTACAAAAATGATCCTGAAATTCTAGCAATGACAAATCTAGTTGTCAGTTATCAGAATAACGATATCAATCAATTTGAATTAATTCTAAAGCAAAATAGGAACAATATTATGGATGATCCCTTCATCAGAGAGCACATTGAAGATTTATTGCGGAATATTCGTACACAGGTATTATGCAGCTTTTATTACTAACGCCAATGTACTAACCTGTACTTAAGCGCCATTTACATTATCCTATGCCAAATGTGCTATACGTGTGTAGCACATATGATATGCACTGTGATATTCATATTACACATCGTGATATTCATATCATATCGTTTCAGGTTCTAATCAAGTTAATAAAACCATACACTAGAATTTACATCCCCTTCATAAGTAAGGAATTGAATATCGACGTTTCGGAAGTGGAGAGTCTTTTAGTATCTTGTATTTTGGACAGCACTATTCGTGGTCGTATAGACCAGGTAACGTAATAATTTACTGACTAAAATAGTGTTCTTGTGACAGAATGATTTTAATAACTGGATCAAACTTACCTCTTTTTCCAGCGCAGGTAGAAAAACGGTAGAAAGAAACGTTTGCACACATATACACACTGTTCATATATATGCATCTACATGTTTAAATTTTTTACAGGTTAACCAAGTTCTCGAATTGGATAAAAAATCGGTATGCGCCGCTCGTTACAATGCCCTCGATAAATGGACTAGCCAATTGCAGTCCTTGCATTTAGCCATCGTGAACAAAATGTCCTAAAACAATGCGGTGCGCGTGATCCTGAATTAAACATTAATCATACTTTGTATAGTATATCATAAAAACCTGTCTACGAATATGATGAAATAAAAAGAAAAATCTATTGTGATAAAATAAATTTAAAATTTTAGCACGAGAGAGCTTTATACGTTTTTATTTCTGTCGAGTATATAAATAATGTGAATTCTCCACCAAGTCAGCCCCAAAAAATATCTGCCACGTTCGTTTCTGCATACAGTATACACGAAATACGTTGGTGTCAATAAGAAACAGTCGCTCTGTTTAAATTTTTCATCAATTTCTTCTCGCAAACAGTCATTCGTAAATTCGTGAACTCGATGGAATTAATACATACGAATATCGATTAATTTCAGAAGCACGTAAAACGCATCGTACATACACGTCCGTTCGGCCAAATGGACCGCGTCTACCTCGCTGTCCTTCTCCAGTAGAATTCCGACTGAATAACGAGGGCCGCGCATCGTCAGTGAATTAATGGTATTCCATGTGGGGCGCATAGTTTGGGCAATATCGACAATCATTAGAACTTTTGGCATAGGAAGCTGCTGCCGTCATGAAATTATGGGAAGCTGAGGGCTTAGCTCACCGGGGCGGGGAGGAGGACACGGCTCGATTCAATCGTGACAATTTAACTGACGGCGAGAATGTAGACGCTGCAGAATCCTGAGAGGTGGATCGGATTGCCGCGGAGGAGATAGGGGAGACGGGTGTACGCGAAACGTCGTTGTTCTACGTTTCCCTCCTCATGCTCCGTCTGCCATGCGGCTCCGCGCGCTCGTTACCACTTCTCGCACGTTCGTACGCTTAAGTAAATCCCGAGGGAAACTAACAAACCTTGGACCAGACGCGCGATGTATATGTATCCTTTGCAGAATAATTCCACGCTTGATTATCGGTGACTCGACTGTGTAGCGTTTCATACGATTGTTGGTAACGATAACGTGCCGACAAACGTAAAAGAAATAGGGTTCACGTTAAAAATGAAATACGGGGACAAAGCACGAAAGTCGATAGGATACACAAAAGACATCTGTGATGATGAATAATCCGACGAATCCTTAAAGCATTTTGCGTTCGATATACATTAATTTATGAGAATTTTTATGTATCTCGCAATATGAGTTACCCGAATAACTACCAACTACCGAAGAACTACCGAATCAATCAATGCGATTATCGCTAGCGAGACAGTTGTAGTGATTCTTATTCAATCAAGATCGCAACTAATGAAACAATCGCGTATTTCGTATTGAGACTCTTCGCGTTTATTTTAGAACTCGAGTTTACTGCTGGAAAATAAAATGGTGATTTAATGTATCTGCGTGCGTAATCTATTACCAATTACTCGCACGTTATTTTCAGCAGGTAAATGTTAAATTTAGGATAACAAGGATTATAGCGACTTGAAAAGAAGAATTGTAATGAAAGTATAAAAGAAAAAGACTAAGTTTCTAATTTAAAGATTCTATTCTCTGATGACAAAGCAGACGACAAGAAAAGTGGGCCGATTTTGGCTTAAAAAAGGTAACGTAAATTATACGCAATTCTTACGTTTTTGAGTCGCTGAATACGGTAGCATTTTTATCCATCGTATATTATACTCGTATATTAAGACCCTAATTCTGAACTCTTTTGATCTCTCTTTTTATTGATAAAAATGCTTTCAATCCTTGCGAAGAATAAGTATTTTCGATACTTTAAGATTCCTGCTTATACGCCGCGGCCATTTTGATTCATGACATCAGAAGAGTGAGAAAATGTATGTTCAAAATTCCTCAAAAATATTTCAAAATATAAAAATATATTTAAAAAATGACACTTGTAATCAATTAAGCACTTTTAAAAAATATTCCGAATACTTTCTTTCCGTTCTAACAATCAGTAAGTAACTTAAAATTAACTAAATAATAAGAAAATGTAGGTTAAAAAAGGAGGTTGCATGTCACGCTAATTTTTCGATTATTTATTAGTCATTAAAACTAAAGGAAAAGACCCGGAATTTTAGAGGTATAATTAATCGATTAAAAATATCATTTTTTTGTTAAGAATTTTTGGCTTAAAAGCATTTTGTTGCTTAAAAAACCTATTATTATTGAAGGTATTGAGCCTTATAATTTGCTTAGGATCTTCTTTAATTTAATTGTTATTATGGTACTTCACCTAGATATATTATCCTGCGGCGACAAGCAGCAATGCAGCTATAAAGAACATGTTTTACTATCTCTCCTGCCTCATTACATTGACAAATTTTGTCCTCTACTTTCCCAATCTTATGTATGTGGTGTTTTAGAGAACAATGACTCGTATACAGACCAGTCAAAATAACTAGAACTCCTCTATCCAGAGAAAAAGCTATTTCCGCACTTTCAGGCGAGATAGTTACAAACTTTTTCACCCTGGAACGTTGTCCCAGTACGAGGTTTTAATTTGTCTTCCTTCCATTTTTGCGATTGTTTCCACCTTATAGGGAGTTAATACCCTTATTCTCTCGAATGCGCCGGAATGTAAGAAAATCTCGCTGCTCGTGCAGAGACATCGATTATCACGCACAAGCGTAAAAAGCAACGACAGCGAAAACAAATTAATATCTCTCGTCTCTTTGAACTACAAGCCACAAAACAGACCGCTCCTACCGCGAAAGAGAGACACCGCGCGCGCAAACAAAAAAAAGGGCAAAAAAAAACTGTAAAAAAGAATTGAAAAACGAGAGCAATCCACGCGCTATTGTTGCCGCGCATTCGCTTTGACGGTTTTGACCGTCGCGCAAAACACCAGGTGGATTAATTCCATTTTGCGGAACTTGATCACACAACGCGCGACACATCTAAATAAAAGGCGACGTCATGGGCGAACACGAGCGAGTGGCGACGGGAGAGCAAGAGAGGAGAGGAGAGAAGAGGGGAAGAGAGAGAAGGGGAGATCGATCGGTAGTGCGAATATCGCGAGAGCAGGGTGGTTTTGCGAGCGTACACGAGCGGAGCGGCATCAGGTTCAACCGGTGCTTCTTGCACGCACCATGTGCCGTTTAAACGACGGCACGAGCCGTTCGCTCGCCCCTTCTCCCTATGAGTATTTTTTCTCTCCAGCAATCCTCTCCACCGGTGTACACATACACACACACATACACATACACACACACATACACATACACACACACACACACAGTCTAGCACTTGCTTGGTCGCGCTGCGCGCAAATTGTTAATTACCGAGCATTAGCCTATTAGACCTTGCGTTCGATTTAATTAGGTTGAGACTAATTTTATCGTCCTCTCTCGCCCTCCCGCCGTCCTTCCGTCTCCCTCTCGTTAGCATACCGCGGTCATACGAAGTCGTCCTTTTTCGCCGCGATCGGACGACCACGTACATGCATATTACGCACGTGACGCGTGGAAATGTGCCGCCGTATATGTCCGCCAAATTTATATCGCCGCGCGCGAAAACGTTGAATTTTATTGTACCTGTACACACCGGCGCTCGTCGTCTCCTTTAATACGAGATTGTCTAGCGCGCAGTGCGATTCGTTTTCCTCTCGTTGCGCGCGCCCTTAGGCTAATTCGAAGACATTTCCCTTCAACATCTTCTTCGAGAGCGAGGTCTCTCTTTCTCTCTCTCAGCGGAGACTCTTCTGCTTGTCGTCGAAAGCTGTTACGAGAGCTTTATCTATGAATTTTCGTTTTTACGCGAAGCGTAATTCGCGTTGCGCGTTAATATAAACAAATGAAAGAGTGTGGCCAAATGGGTATTGGCCATGTTCCCCCAATCCAGTTAGGAAAATAAGAGGGTTGAAATGGGTACTAAATGAAAGATCACGTTAAACTGAAAACAAATATATAAGTTTCACCTTGCACCGATTTTCCGTCCCAAAGTTATAGGGTCCTAAAGTTTCCAAATTCAAAACAGTTTTTAATTTAAAAGAAATATAAAAATGATAGAGAGAGAGTTTTGCAGTATATAAAGACTCGTTTGAAAGTTTATGACTTCTACTTTCCAGTGGATAAAAAAATCACATCAAAATGTCAATAAAAAACCAGAAATTCAAATGTTCTAATTGGATTTTGGTGCAATATATTGTTACGTGTAGTTGATGTTTTTGAAAATGTATATAAATTATTTCTATACATTTAAACTAACAGATTTAAATGTTATTTACTGTTTTTGTATACAAGGAATCACATCGATTGATAGTACTTTTATTGCCAAAAACCAACCAAAAATACAAAAAATCCAGATCTTTACACGCTTTCTCTCTCTCTCTCTCTCTCTCTCTCTCTCTCTATTTTTCTCTGTTCCTCAATTTATCCGTCGAATTAATCTACGAATATTTTTCGCGTTTCGAAAGAGACAAGCGCGCGGGTTCGAAGCATCGTTTATATTTGCATTTACACGCGACGGTATACACGCGAAACGTATGACCGTTTTGTTGTAATTAAGTGCCAATCTTGAAATGGATCCGTAATCAAGTATATTCATGTAGGTTTCGCGGGCAATTGTCAACGTTCGCGAGCTACCTGCCAAATTTGTTTACGCCAGTCGCCAAAGTATTTACCGCCACCGTTGGTTACTTTATCAAGCCTGTGTGACAGCGCGGCTCGCACACAACACACAGACGATATATTCTGACAAATAATGACACCGATGTGAGCCAAAAACGGGACTAAAACGCGCGTGTGCAAATTATTAAATTTGCCCAAATTGACGCTTGTCGAGTGAATAATAAATATCCGTTACTGTTACTGACACACCATCGATACGATAGCAATTATTCAAACGACGATGCGATACGCGGATAATTCGATTACTGTCTGCATTAAAATTGAAACTTTTTTTTTGTAACAAACGGGTGGTAATTAGAAAGAACAGCGTGTGTGTGCGGACGTTCATTATATCAATATATCAATATCAATAAAACTCATGATATTCCCGGACAAATGTAACAGCTAGCACAAATTTACGATTGCAATGAAAATTATAATTTTTCGATTGAATTGGAAATTGATTTCCTCTGCGACAAAGACGAATGCTGTAACGCCGATGAAACTTAAGAGAAGATTCTGATTTAGACAGTCGAGAAATAGGAGGTTGTCACGAATTTTTTATAAAAAGATGGATCATGAT